ATGGAAAAAGGACAAGACAGAATCTATATTGTGGCCCAAGATTTCTTTGGCAAGCCCTCCACAGCCCTGCCACACCAGACAATCTATCAGAGGTAGAAACGCTTCTCAGAGTTGACTGCAGGTAACACTACACGCTTATGACTAAAGCATCCCTTTATCACCACAAACTATTTTCTGGAGCCACCCACCAGATCAGCAAGCCTCACTCCATGCTCACCCCCAAAGCAAGAGGCAATGGGCCACACATATGCCTTGCAGGCACCTCTTCTTGAATGCTCTCAAGAGCACATACAACAGAAGGCAGAGAGGATCTGCAATACTGCCAGTGTTGAGGACAACTGAGAAGGCATTGCCTCTCCACTGCCAGAAATGTCATCCATCAGGATCAGTTGCTACCATCTGGGGCAGCTTAAGCAGAAAGACCAGTCTTCCAGTAAGAGCATCAGAGCAGGTAGCCTTCTGGGACAGAACTGTAGTGAACCTGAAAAGCTAAAGCCCAGAGGAAGAAAGGCAAGGAAAGTTTTGGGGAAGCAGGGGAAGAGGAAACAGAGCAGGAGGCTTTGCTTTCCAGAGGGATGGAAAGAAGAGACCAGGAGACACTGCCTTCTAGAGGGATGGAAAGAAGAACACTGAAAAATATGGTCTGTTACAGAAACAAACAGCATTTCAAAGCACAGGGGCCAAATTTTTGTCCTGAGCTTTGTTGCCACCAAAATGGTAGGGTTCACAAGCCCACAGCAGGTTGGCAAACCTAAGCCTTGATAAACACTGCTATGGCTGAAGAGTTGAACTCGCTCTATACAGAGTGCTGTCCAGCACTGAACCTCCAAACTCAGCTTGAAAATCAGGGCCCCAAGGTGCCAAAGGGAAGGTTTGCAGAGGGGCCTGCTTACCCAGTCCAACAGAAGGAAGAGCTGTATAGCAGCATGGGTAGTAAGGAGCCAGAAGCACACTGCACATCACTTGCAGTGAAGTGTACTACAGCAGGGCTACCTTAACCCAAAACCAGCCAGAAGATTCACTTACCAACCACATGATGGGCATTAGCAGCTTCCACAGAAAAACTGGCAAAATTCCATAAGTCATGTTAGACATAACTAGACCAGGACAAACAACACTGGAATACAGACCCTGCAGAGAAGAAACCAAGTCAATGTGCTAATACACAACAGTTAGTTTAAGACTGGATCATTCTCCTTCCCTCCTAGTACTTCTTGGCAAGAAAATGAAGGTGAGTATAGGGACTAGTTAAGAGTAGACACTCTCCTCTCTAAAGTTACCAGAGTGATTAGACGTAGCAATTTGAGAGATTCAAATTGGAAAAGTTCATGTTCAATCTGTGTCCATTGCAAGCCCACAAGACAAAAAGTGCAGCCTCCCAATGCATCACAACCTCAAGTTGCAGTCTATGTACAGCTCAGCAGCAACAGCAGTCATCTGACAAATTACAGCCCACTCAGGTCAAAGGCTACCTCACCTTAAAGAGATAAGAGCTTAGCCTTCTAGGACTAAACTATTTTCTCCTGTAGGACTTGAAAGGTTGCAATCACTATTGCTGGACTAGTGCAGCTTGTCAACAACATCCAGCAAACCCCTGTGGCAGGGACAGCAGGTTGCTCACGCATCAGTGTGACAAACCACCTCAGCCATGTTTAGCTCCCACATGTGCACTAAGCAACATATCAGATTGCTGCAAACACATGCAACTAGGTAACAACAATGTAATGATAATTATAAACAGTAGGAGCTCATTAGGTTTCTTCAGACATACAAACCCTATCATCACCTGCTCATTAAATTTCCTGTTCAGAACCACACTTGTTAGGTCAGTAGCATATTTGGAGGAACTGTATGATTCCTGCCCCTTGGCATGCTGATAGTCAGAAAGGCTGAAGGCAGATTCCCTGGCATTGCTGGAAGAGGTCCAGATGAGTCGTGAGGGCTTTTCATTACCACAGAGTAGAGACTCAAGTTGACGAACCTGTGAAATAATCATTAATTTATTTAACGCAGTAATTTTTAAGTCTTGCAGTATAGCTTTGCAGTTCTTAAAAAGCCACAAGTTTATCTCTACTTTCCTAGCCTTGAGCAATCTTCACTAGACTGGCCAGAGGCAGCTGCTGCTCAGGTATAACTTCAGCTCAGGGTCTACCAGGAGCATTTACAAGCAGCCACCATTCTCTTACACAGCTCAGTTGAGCACCTCAAAATTTAACATAGTCAAGTCTTGGTATTTGCCCTGGACAGAAAGAACTAAAAAAGGTTTATCTCTATATCCATTGGTTAATTAGAATGATTATATACCCTTGCAACAACAACAACTATGACCATTTATTGCTATTTTAACAAAGCCCGAGACCTTTGCCCTATCATTTCTTATCTGCTAGCCTGCAGTCTGCATCAGCATCCAAACCTGTTCAGAACTGATTCACCCATGTCACTTGTACCCATCCCTATGCACATTAACCATCCAACCGAGGGCTCAATCTTCATACACAGCCTCACCAGGATAAAGTGTCCAAAGAGGTTGGTAGCAAACACCTCCTGCAGTCCATCTCCATTAAGCCTGTCCGTCTGGGTCATTACGCCTTCTGCAGTGGTCAGCATGTGAAGCAGCTTCCTGCAAGCCAAGGACAGGAGTTAGAGTGGACCACTGCTGGGTCTAATTGCTCCCCACTTCAGTCCTTCAGAAGTAGTCCCCACCTCAGACTCCACACAGACTGTCTAGTTTCACCTTCAAGAGCTCCATTAATCCATGAGAAAATGGCAGGGAAAAGTTTACAGATTATCCCAGTCCCTTTATTTCCAAGTGTTTCAATGCTGACTAGACCAGAGAAACCTCATCTCTTCCTTCACTTCACCACAGTTAAGTATCATTAAAAAATAATCTTGCTCTTCCATTTCACATCCAGATAATGAAATCAAGCCCCAGCATGTAACTAAGCCCTAGGGCCATGCGTAATTTAGGTAAGGAAAGCAGTCTGTGTTCAACACCCCAACAACTGCACTAGGTGCAACACAATTCAGTTTGCTCCCTAGCTCAGCTTCCCTGTGATGCTTATAGGATAGCAATGTTTATCCCCATAGTGCTTACAGAAGCAGCATCAACTATTAGCTTCACAAAATACCATGATGCACTGCTGAGAACAACTACAAAAACCTACAGTGGAACTAAAACAACAGCGAGGAGACCCCTGGCACACAGTGAGCCCCACACCAGGGATCGGAAGCGGCACAGGGCACCTCAGAACACCTCAACGCTTCACCCAACTGCCAATCCCGCCCCATGGAAGGCTGTGGATCCCACGGCGATGTGCTCCATGTCGTACTGGGGAAGGGCGAGAGGGCCTTCAGCCCTGGGCACGAGGGAATGCCTCGGCCACGATGATGCTGCCAGCACCCTCGTGCTCCCTGCCAGCCACGGACCAGACCCCCCAGCCCCCGACACCTCCTACCCGGTGAGGAGGCCGTGCCAGAGGGCCTTGAAGTTCACGTGTGGGTTGGGCATGATCCCAGCGTTGAGGTAGACAAAGTCCAGGCGCTGAAACCTGCGTGGAGAGGAGCACAGGGGTGAGGGTGGACGGGGAGTGGGGCTCCGCTGGGGCGGAGGACGGAGATCCGATACCTGCAGCGGAGCTCACGGGCGACGCGCAGGACGGCAGCCAGGTTACCCAGGTCCACTTCCACGGTAGAGACCTGTGCGGCGGGGTGAGCGGCCAGAATGAGGTTTCGCGTGGCTTCGCTCTTCTGGACGTTGCGGCAGGCGATGCAGAGGTGGATGCGGCCATCCTCCTCCAGCAACCGCCGGCACAGCGCCAGCCCCACGCCGCTGCAACGGTACGGTGTCAGGGTGAGCGCGGGCGGGCTGCGGCGGGCCCCGTCCCGTCCCGTCCCGCCCCATGGAAGGCTGTGGATCCCACGGCGATGTGCTCCATGTCGTACTGGGGAAGGGCGAGAGGGCCTTCAGCCCTGGGCACGAGGGAATGCCTCGGCCACGATGATGCTGCCAGCACCCTCGTGCTCCCTGCCAGCCACGGACCAGACCCCCCAGCCCCCGACACCTCCTACCCGGTGAGGAGGCCGTGCCAGAGGGCCTTGAAGTTCACGTGTGGGTTGGGCATGATCCCAGCGTTGAGGTAGACAAAGTCCAGGCGCTGAAACCTGCGTGGAGAGGAGCACAGGGGTGAGGGTGGACGGGGAGTGGGGCTCCGCTGGGGCGGAGGACGGAGATCCGATACCTGCAGCGGAGCTCACGGGCGACGCGCAGGACGGCAGCCAGGTTACCCAGGTCCACTTCCACGGTAGAGACCTGTGCGGCGGGGTGAGCGGCCAGAATGAGGT